GGGTGTGTGAGTGTGTGGGTGGGTGGGTGAATGTATGTGGATGATCGGAACGAGGACAAAGGGGAGGAGGGAAGGCGTCGTCTTACCGGGCTGCGCCGACGCAGAGAGCGGATTCTAAACTGTACAAGGTGAGAGAGACAGGGGGAGGGAGAGGAAAGAGGGGAGCAGTGAGAGATATCGTCCTACCAGGCTATGTCGATGGCAGAAAATCGGATCGTATGCTGTACAAGGTAAGAAAGACAGGGGGAGGGAGAGAAAAGAGAGGAGCAGTGAAAGTTATCCTTCCCCCGGGCTGACCCGAGGCAGAGAGCGGATCCTGTACTGTACAAGGTGAGAGAGACAGGGCCACGGAGAAGACCAAGGGGAGTAGCGTAAGGTGACCTCGTACCGGGCTCTGCTCCGACGCAGAGCGCGCATCGTATTCTGTACAAGACGAAAACGAAGACCGGGGGAACGACGGCAAACGAGCGCAGTAGTAGTGGAACGGGCTGTGAGGGTGCAGAGAGCGGCTCCTATGCTGTATAATAAGGTATAAGGTGAGAGAGACGGGGAGGGAAGTGAGAGAAACATTGATCCTTTGTCGGCGAGGCAATTAAGCATAAAACAAAAAAAAATCCATCTTTAACATCGACACGGCTTACGGCCCACGACAAGCGGTGTGACGATAATCGACGACGAAGCATTGCTGGCCAACAATTCCGCCGGGGCAAGGTCCCACTTGCGCAAATCAGGAGATTTGGGCCGTTGATCTTTGCTATCTACGGTCAGTATCTCTTAATTCGTTCGTGCAAGTGGGACCTACCGGTAGCCCACGGACGGCATGAGCGTTTTATGTATAGCTGGATCAATTGTTACGGACCTTGCACACAACTGTCCTCCACTTCTTCTACTTCTTCTTTTTTATCTGGATTCGAACTAAGGTCTGTAAAAAAAAAGGAAAAAAGAAGAAGAAGAAGAGGTCTGTACATGAACAGTTTGTCGGTGTACCAACTGAGGTACAGAAGCAGCCCCGTTGATTGCTTTGCACCTTGCAAAGCACAACTGGCATCCAATTCTCGCGCGCACCGTTGTTATGGTGAAAGACAGAGCAGATGGAGCGCTGGGGTGCGGACTCGAAACGACTTGCCGCGTGGTGATTACCGTCTTCCGCACAGAATAAAACGCAGGCCATTATCGCCCGCATCTAGACAGAAAGATGGGCCAGATACGGCTGTAATGACTGTGCGTTCTATAGGGGAAAGACGGTAGCGAAACGCCATCCGTCGCGATCGCCGCATACGAAAAGAATACGCTCAGCTCAGCGACATCTGAAGCGCAATGGTTTTTTTTTTTTTTTTTTTTTTTTTTTGGACCATTTCTCGATTTATGCGTGTCATCCTTGCGCAGGGGCCATGCTAATCTATCTTCTCTGTATCGTTCCAATTTTAACGGATTGGAACATGGCGCTGAGCTTTTCTTTCTTTTTTTTTCCGTATGCGGTTCGAAAGCTGAGTTCGTCGATCTGTCGATAACAAGACCGCGGTTCTAAACCTGAGTCGAATCAGACGAACACAGTCTCTCAGTTATCTTGGGGCCGGTAAGTTCGACGGTAATCCCCCAACGCCGTCGCCCTTTTTTTTTTTTTTTTTTTTTTTTTTTTTTTTCGTCTTCTCCTCATCGGGCGACCTTCTCTGTGCGGACATGAGACCTTCGGAATGCTTTTGCATATAGATATAGATATAGATTCACAGTGTGACAGTATATATATACATATTTAACTGGCGTTCTGCCATGTCATGGAGCATATCTTTTTCCCTTCACGACCTACCACTACACTACAGATGATACACAGAAAAAAGAAACAAGAAGCCACGCGTGAAGACGTGGGATGGACGCTGAGCGCGAGAGACGTTCACAAACAAATACACAAATACACAGATGATACTCTACAGATACTCTGTGGATTCCCATATGAGCTCGGTCAACCACTACTTGCGCGCTATACTATTACTATACGAGTGAATCCCGACCCAACAATACTTGCACTCCGAACCAACGCATTTTATTATTATTATTTTTTCTTAAAGGGCGATGGCCTTGAGGTATTATCATCGGACTAACCAGCCCAGGTAAATTCAATCTTGTGTCTAATCTGACATCGGCTGGCCTTTTCAGCCCAGGGTGGCCTGATAGCCTTCAGGGAACCCCCAACGGGGGACACCGGCCAGGGGACAGCTGCTGGCAGAGGGACCGAGCATCATCTGAGTGGCCAGTCGCTGTGCCTCCCCCATCGTTCCGAGCCTTTTTTTTTTTTTTTTTTTTTTTTTTNTTTTTTTTTGGGGAAGGGGGGGGCGGGGTGGGGGGACAACATGCGTTCGCGTTCCAGACCAAATTTTGCACTGTCTTGGGGACCAGCGCCCACGGCAGGAAACTGGCGCAGGCTTGAGCACGCGGATGTGGCTGCTACGGGGTTGGTCCCCCAGACTACGGTGGTAGAAGACAGCTAATTGAATTGAATTAGCCTTTTCTTTTTTTTTTTAATAGAATAGAAACGGGCGTGAGTTGCCCTTCCCATCCCGAAAACGCCACGTCCCACTGGCAACGTTTAAGTTTCCTCAACACCTGAATCTGGACGTGTTTCTGGCTATGTGCGGTTGAGGAAACTCGACGCGACTTGTGCACATCTCCCCAAACATGTTCAGATTCAGGTGTTGAGGAAACTCAACGCTGCTACCGGTAGTGTGCCTTGGCCCCCGCGCATTCTGGACTGGATGGGAACTTCCTCAATCGCCCCGCTCTTGGCCCCCGCTAATTCTGGATAGGAGCTTCCTCAATCGCCCCCGCTCTTTCTCCTCCATCCGGGGGCTAGGTCCCACTTACACGAATCATTAAGCGATATTGACCGTAGATAACAAGGATCAACGGCCAGAATCTCTTCATCGGTGCCAGTGGGAACTCGCCCCGGCGTGAAAACCGCGGGCGCGCTTTCTATTCTTTCTTCTTCGTTTTCATTCTTCCTTGTTTTGGCGCTCTCTTGTTTCTTCCTCTACGTTCGTTCTTTCTTCCACCCCGCGCGCGCTCGGTTTTCCTCTGCGTTCGATTTTTTTTTTTTTTTTTTTTCGCCTCTTATAAAAAAAACTAGCTCTATTATTCTCTCTATTCTTTTTTTTTCATTTTTTTTTTGTCTCTCTATTGTTTCCAATTCTTTCCATTTCTATCAAATTCTTTCAGTTCACCTTCACTACCACTACCGCAGGGCAAAACCCTGCGCGCGCTCGTTTTTCCTCTTACGTTCGATCTTTCTTCTACAGTTCGCGCGCTCGTTCTTCCTCTACGTTCCTCTTTTTTTTTTCCCTCTGCGGCTCGCGCCAACGTTCTTTGCTCTACACACGGCCGCCGCTGGTACGGTCAAAGACGACGGCTAACGTTGGCGCGTTAGCCAGCGTTTGACCGTACCAACGGCGTGGAGGATCCAAAATCCGCAGCCAAGCGCCGATGGACCGCAGAAGGCACTGGGATGGCTGACCTCCGTTTTTTTTCGTTTTTTTTTTTTCGGACCGTTCAGTCGGTAAGAGCGACGGGCGTCTACGGTCTTCACCCGGGACAAGGTCCCACTTGCGCATATTAGGAGATTTGGGCCGTTGATCTTTGCTATCTACGGTCAGTATCTCTTAATTCGTGCAAGTGGGACCTGGTCATTATAGCTGTCTTTTGGCCAACTTCCAGTCTAAGGGACTCGCCACACCACTCTCGAAATGTCAAAACGACAAAATTGTGACCGGTGGATCTGGCCATGGTCTACCGGGAAGTTCATTCTCATTTTGGCCATTTCGAGAGTGGTGTGGCGATGCCAGTACAGCGATAATGACCGGGGGTTCTACTCGGGTGAAGTCGGTAGCTAGTGATGGGTGAAAGGTGAAATTGAGGCCGTCCTTCGGGACATCCGTTAAAATTGGAACGATACAGAGAATGAAGATTAGCATGGCCCCTGCGCAAGGATGACACGCATAAATCGAGAAATTGAGGCCATTCTCACACTAGGTAGGTATGGATGTCTCAGACCGCAAATAGCTCCATAAACAAGTTAAAAAGTCCTGGTGTGAGCATGCCCTGAGAGAAGAATACAGCTTAGGGCATACTCGCACTAGAACGTTGTAACTCATATATGGACGTATTTGCCGTCAGATTCATCCCGGTCTGGGGTTAATTGGAGTCGGATGCATTTTGAAAAGTGCTACGTAGTGTGCGTATGGCCTTGTTAGTTTTCTATCTGGAGGAGGAGCGACGGGGCGGTGTGTACAAAGGGCAGGGACGTAATCAGCGCGAGCGGACGACTCACGCTTGCTTCTGGGGAAGTCCTGGGGCGAAGGGCCTTAGCCCCACTGCTCACCAACAACTCTCCAAATGTGCAAAATGAGAATGAATAGCGGCGGACTACCTCCCCTCCACGACGCGCGAGGGTGTAGGATAGGACGCGTGTGCGTCGTAGAGGCACGGGACAGCTTCGGCGCGGGAGACCCATTATTGTATTGCGCAGGGGCCATGCCAAGCTTGCCCCCC